ACTCAAAGTTTTTGCTAATTCTGTTCAAAATACCGTACGTTTACCGTACTTTTTATGTAAATATCGTACTTTTATGTACGGTATACCGTTGAATAAGAGACAACGAAATAAACTATAATTAAATTGATTTAACACAAGCACACTGACATGACAGCAATTGTTCAATTATCAAGAATATACCAACCTATTCTTATAGATAAGACATCACAGTCATAAAAAAATTAGAACTAATATTATTTCAGATTTAATTTTCTATATTTTTTAATAAAAAATAATGTATGAAAACAAAAGAAAAGTGTTCTTCCGTACTTCTCGTAGTCGCCCGAAAATTTAACTTTTCGTCCTCCTTGGGTAAGTATAACAAATTACTATTTTATGCCTTACCCTAACATTACTTACATAACAAAACCACAAAATATCTTTATAATCTTTATAACTATCTTTATAACTTTCAAAATCAGTAAATAAGATAATACTGGATCATCGGGCATACAACTTTTTTTAATTTGATTTTTTGAAGATAAAAACCAAAGCCTTATTTATCGTATCGGCCGAAAGATAAAATATATCGATTTAAAATATCGGTATCGTCAAAATATCATTGCATCCATAGTAATTAATTACTTTTTAAGTGTTTGTAATCAGTACCTAATAAATATAAATTGTATATATTATGTTCATTATTTTCATTCTCAAGGAGATCAAATAAAATTAAGATTCCGAGGTATCAAAATTACGAGCTTTAAAAAAACGAGAAGGCCAGATTTTATTGAGAATAAAAAGTAACCAATGATTAACATGTGTATTTACATAAACAACTAGGATTTTACCAATAAACATAAATCATAGAATTGATGAAGCTGAATCAGTCAATGGTTTTCAGCAACAAACTCCAAAAATATTTAGTTATTCGTAAACGTATGGTCATTTAAATCCTGCTTATTTATATGACAATAATTTTATTATAGTAGTAGGCAAGTAGGTTAGGTATTATGAAACTATTAAGAAAAATTTCACTTTTAATATTAATTAGTCAGAAATTTGTATTTCAACCTTTCAAATAAACAAAACGAATTGTTTATTTACTTACAAATTTAAGAAACACAAAGTTTATGCTTTTGAAATTGGAGTTAACTTTGTTATTAAGTAAATTACGACAGTTTCTTACTATCGGAAGAAAAATATAAGATAATTTTAATGCATATTTATAAGTTTATCAATATAAAGTGTGCTTTATGTTTAGGTAATAATTTTAATTAAATAATTCCAGATTAACGACATAATCATCTTAAAAGTGTTCACACTTGTGGACCCACAGGAAGATCAAAGACTACACAGTAATTTAATAAGTCAAACATAAACTTACCTTTAGGTGATGTCCCTAGCCTTCAAAATTAGAAGTTTCGGCACTAATTAACAATTTGCAATATTCCAATCACTAGATCAAATTATAACGATATCACGTTTAATAGTACAATTAAAAGGAATGAAGAGATCCGAATCAAACAAATAACTGTCAGAAACTGACAACTGTCAAATTGTCAATTTCACGTCCAAAAAAAATTATTGGCTAATTTGCACTTACTTGTTGCGACGTTGCCAAGCTAACATACACCTAAAAATAATTCTTCCAAGAAAGATAAATTTAAATTGCCACACGTGGACCGGAACAAATAAATTAGATAAACTAATATGTCACTGATACAAGAACTCAAAACCTACTTCTAATTCTATCTGTATCTGAAAGGGTGAGTTTCCTCATATCACTAGACTCATTATTATGCATCTTCCAGGGACTAGTTCACAACGACGATGAGAGGTGTCTATTCTATAGTGACTGCCTCTCAGCCATCCGCTCCTCAAAGTTCTGCAGATTAACAATGTCGTCGAGAGGTGTGTTTCTAGATGTCCAATTTTAGTCGCCTCTTACGACATGCATTTGGACAATTTTATTTGTATGAGAGTGGCAATTTGGTGGGCTCTTAATACCTAATGGTAAATGTCCAGGTGGAGCTATTCTGTCCGCCCTATCCTCAATGTTACTTCTTATTTTTAATTCTAATTAGAATTTGAAAAAGTTAAGAAGGATCGACTCAGCTCTAGTGCACTTAGGTCTCGTTAGATCTATAGTGTATCCTCCAGAAGTAATTATATAAGGTCCTCTTAACTGGCCAGAGAGCGTTATGTTATGTTTTAAAGCAGATCATAACGTGCGTCGTATACCTTACCTGGGTTATCTTGTTCTTATTCTGTCAACGCCCAAATTGGATAATTCTAACCTTAAACTTAGCTTCAAAGCTCTATATATTATGCGGCTAAGAATCGTTGGAAATCAGTATGTTCCAGAGCGAATCCTTAGGAGGACTGTGAAATAATAAACAATTTGGAGGTCAAAAATCTAGCCCAATTGAGTACTTTCTTATTAAAAAAACAATATCGTCTGCTTATTATAATTGAGAATTGAGCCAATTGCCCTATTTTCATTACACTTTTGAAGTAATGGCAACGTAGCATGTATGTTAAAGAGAAAATAGCTGCAACAGATGTTTGACTTGTTTGGAGTTCGGATACGACTCGTAAAAAACAACTAAAGCAACATTTTTAGAAGATTTCATTGCTGGCATCATTATGACATTATAGAAAACATTTTTTTGTTTGTGTGCATATATGATGATTTGATCTTTATACACTTTTATCATTAATAAATTAAAGTGAAATTGAAATATAATAGCTGAAAAGCCCAGTATATCATAGGCATTGATTTAAAACAGAAGAATGAATAAACTTAAATTTTTGACAGAACACAGAACCCTACTGTCACGTCTGTCATGTAAAAATAACCATAAAGCTTTACATACACCTACAAAATTAATAATGGGTAAATTTAATAATTTTTTAAATTAATAATGTAAATAATTCTCGTCTTTTTTTTAGCTGTATCTACAGGGACCTCATTCATTTTGGCATTTATAAGTTGGATACTGGTATTTTCTGGAATGCAAATGTTCAAACCCTTCTTTAGCGGTTCACAGTTACACACAATTTTGGGAGGATATTTAGGATCTATACTGTTTGTCTTACTATTAACATCTATAGGCAATTTGGAGAGCATCGTTTTCGGAAAATCCTTCCAGATCAAATTGTTTCCTGAAAGTAAGATTATTTTATTTGATTTTGCCACTGTGGCACTTTTAGTAGAACGTTTTTTGAAAATTTTTAATGAAGTGTAAGTAATATTGTATATCTATTTTATTTTCTAGTCTCATGCTGCCTTGTGATAGCAATTTTAGCATCATCCACTATTCACAGAGTATGTGGAACTACTTGGTGAGTAAATACAAAACCAATGCTTTCTTCGTCAGTCATAAGCAGGCAGGGTTTGATTTAGCTTATAGGCCCCTGCTTTCATGTACTATTTCAGATTACTCCTGCGTTTGGTACATTTTATTAAATTAAATTTTACACTGAGAAGGATGTGCTGCAGCCTAGCTGGTACTTTGCATGAAGTTTCTTTCTATTCCATGAATAGCTGTATTGCTAATATACACAAATTGAAATGTAATTATTGTGAAGGAGTCTCCATTTAAAAAACTATTATAAAAGCATTCATTAGAATAAATTAATACAAGAAGGTTAAACATTATATTTATACTTCTATTACAGTTTGTTGATCTCACTTTGTGCTCTATACTATATCAATAAGTATTCCCAGAAGGTTTATACAGTTCAAGCTCCTACACCTGTAGTTCAAACTGGAAAGAAGAAGAAGTGAATGTTCTGAAGTAAATGAACAAGGCTATAAATGCATCAAATCGAATTTTTAAATTGATAAATGAATAAAATACTAGTGTAAAAGTTTTGTAATTATTTTTTTAATACACTTTTGTACATAATCAGATATGTTATATTATCCTACTCTCTTTTGTTTCATTCACTTGTAATCTCATAAAATTGTCATTTCTTTTTTATATTAAGGTATTACAGGTTGACCCTGAAAATAATGTTCCTTGAAGGGTTAGGTAGGTAGTTAGGATTATTTGGCACATTAAAAAAGAAGGAATCGTATTTAATAATACTGATCTTACCCCACAGAACAGCTTATCATTTAGCATATGGGGTTCCAAAACTCATCCTTTGAATATGCCTCTCAAAATAATGAGTTTTATTTATAAATGAATTGTAGAATAAAAAAACAAACAACAATTACTTTATTATTAGTGTCTATTATGTATCTGTATCTACTACATTACATAAAATAAATACTATATTAATAGAGACTATTTTAATTTGAACAGTTAACATCAATCTCTCTGTACTCTACATCAGTTAACATTTTTTTAAAAGAATACATAATGGTTATTAAAAAGAATCACTGTCTAAAAATAATAGTTTAAATTTAGATTATCAAATCTAATACAAAATTGGTCATTGGATTATTCTGACCAATAATCGAGTTTTATGGAAAGAAATGCCATAATAAAATTTTATTTGATATCATAGATTTCTAGAAATATAAATAAATGAAGTAGGTTGTGAATGATTCAAAAGTTAATATTTATTCCATTTCGATTATTGGTCATAAAATTCCAGAAATTGGTCAGAGTAGAAATGTACATCAGGCATTATCAAAATATATTGGAAGACAAATAAAGTTAAATATAGCAGACCGAAGTACAGACATTGAGGACCTTACCCTACTTCCTGGAGGGGAATAGTCAACTGGACATGTTTAGTCAGGACTAAAGATAATAACCTTATTATCATACTTAATTTTTATAAATTAAAGTACATGTTTTTTAAGTTTAATTATTAATCTACAATTTTCTTTTTGTAATCATGATAGTGACCAGACATTGAAATACAGAATCTTTAACAATAACATCCCACAAGACTAAATTTATGACATCAGTTGACTAAAAGTAACATTAATAACTTCACTAGTAACACTAAAAGATTGTCACTGACCTATTTGATAAAACTGATACCTAAGTTGTCTTAATAGTCAATTTGAACGGCCATTTTCATTAAATTTGTATTGTTGAAGACTCGTAACATGTTAAAAGGCTGCTACTTGTAGCATATCTCAAAAGTATGCAATCATCTTGGATGGTTAAACATGGCTAAAGAAACCACAATTGATCTTCTATTGTAACTATAATAAACATTAAAAGAGCAAATTCCCACAACTGTTTTGCGATAATCAGCCTCAAAACTAGTAAATGTTAACGTGCCGTTTCAAGTATAAATTGGTTAAAATATTTGAAAAACTTGAATTATTAATGAACGTTCATGAAGGGGATATATTGGAATAAAAACACTATAGGTAATATTTATTAGATCATTTAAAACTTTTACGATCTCTTATAAACATTTAACAATGAAACGACAATAACACTATCTTTTACTGACTTTCCATGTTCAAAACTTAAAATTAAGTTATGACATAGGGGTCCCTTTTTCAGGAGGAAGGAAGATCCATAAATCTGTTCTCTTTTTTTATCTAAAACCTAAAATTAGAGCTGCCATAAAACAGTGACTTCTACTGTGAATATTCGTGAACATTTAATTACAGTAGGTAGGTAATTAGTCTATTAGATTTTAAACCTCATACATCATATAGGAATAAATAAGTAGAACAACAGTAGACTTAATACGAGCACGATACAAAACATCTTTTTCGTATCTTTAATGGACGTGATGACCTGAAAACGATTCATATATTTGCAGTGAAGTAGATCTTCATTTTCGTTACTATCTTCGCTGGATGAAACTCGTATCATCAAGAATTCAACCTGTAAATTCAAAAAAAACATATAAAGCAACTTTTATGCATCGTGTCAATTTGATAAAATAAAAAATCTGTCCAAACACCTGATGAACAGCATAGAAAATAGTATTTCCAAGCAGATGTTTGTCCTTCGTAACATTGTTCAACTGATGGTAATCCACAGAGAACCCCGTAGTTCCATCATTTTTCTGGACACAAGGACTACCAGAGAGACTTATTTTTACACCCTTCGGACTCCAGTGTTATCATAGGGTGATAACACTAGCCTGGCGGTACAGCGGCCTGCGGTTTTTGTACCACTAATTGAAGGTCCTATACTTTCTCATTTACCAATTCACTCACTAATTCACCACCATTCATTCTACGTCCTATGGTGACACTGCTGTAAGCAGTGGCGTAGCCAGCCATTTTTCATCGGTGTGGTTCTTAAGAACTATGGGGGGTTCCATTACGATAGTGAATAAAAACAAACAGTCAATAGTGATAAGCGCCAATACTATAGCGGAAATGGTGACGCAAGGACCCTCCATGGGGGGTTCTGACACCCAAAACCCCCTCCGTGGCTACGCCACTGGCTGTAAGTATAAATCGTAAACTCTGATTGGTCTGAATAACTAAGTTTACGATATGAATATCATTTTGACATTAATAATCATTAAAAATTAAAGGGGTAGTTGAAAAGCAACTGTCTAGGGCCTAAAGGCAATCTCTAGTAAAATATATTGAAGCCAGTTCCAAAATGATAACATAATTAGTATATACAGTTGATTATGATTTTGATATATTTTTAGGTCCATATTTTAAGGGTTTGGCATATCTACATGCAAGCAATCTTAGCCTTAAATGTCAAAACAACAAAATGCTAATAATGTGTAACTTTTTCAAATGCCTAAAAAAAACGCTAGATAGAGATCTAATACAATAGGCAAACAATTTCCACTGTCTTCAATCGCTGCTGCTATCAGAGAGCTCTACTACTTTAGGTAGCCTGAGTACCACAAGGCTCAAATTTGGGTCCAATAATATTTCTACTACATATTATCAATCTAGTCGCTCCAAATTTAAACCTTATAGAGATGTTTGAATATGTGTGTGTTTTGAAGTGTGTCAATTTTACAGTAGCGTTTAAGAATTCACTAACTTAAGAGTTCCAGGGATGCTCGGAACCCTCGGCAGGGCGCCATAATCTAATCTGATGGCTGAGGCATGTGGAGAATCCATCAGGTCTGGCTGTGCGTGAAGTCCAAATAACATTTCGGCGGGCTGTGTCGTCCGTCTTCTTATTTTGGATTTTGACGTTGAGGGAGTTAGGTGAGATTCAGTAACAGATACACTGAAAATAGAAATTAATTAGCTATTATATGATACTTTATTAAACATCTGATCTTTTGAAAATGCTATATTAAGTAAAACTTATTTAAAATATTTTTTGTGAATTAATAATCGGTCTCCTGCTAATGCTACTAGTAAATATTTTACTTAGGTATATCTTATATCAAAATTGTTTACTTAAAATGACTACCCTATGTCTATACCCCAGTCTTCTTATGTAATCGATAAAACAAGTTTTTCTAATTGATAATGTAAATTTATTATTCAAATACTTACTGCATATCTAGGGGTACTGGAGAAGACGATCTAGAAGAATTAGAGCTGGTGGTATCATTAGTAGTACTAGAAATACTGGTAATAAGCTCCTTGGAAAATATAGGAATTTCATTGTGAAGTACATGGTCCAGTAACTGTCCTTTCACGTTATTTTCCTGCTGCAGCTGTAAAATAAAATCATTAGTTTCAGAAGCATATATTTTTCGAGCAACCAAATCAAAAGAGATCTGTCAGTTGACCAATAGATTAGATAATAATTTACCTCGGCTAAAGTAGCTTCGCTTTCCTTCAATTTGGCATCTCTTTGAGCAACGGCATGATTTTGGCTAAGCGTCATATTATACAATTTATTTATTACATATTTAGCTTCATCAATGTCAAATATTTGGGCGACTAGTAGCTGCAAATCGGCGTTTTCACTCGTATCTTCAGCTTCTTCAATAGCCATTACGTTGTGTTGGGTTTCACTTATAGTTTCCTGAACATAGTTTATATTTTCTTTGATATCTTCAATGTAACTGTCTAGCTGCGTTACATCTTGATTCCTTTCAACGGCTTGTCGTCTGCGTTCTTCTAGAGCTTCAAGTTCTTTACCTGCAAGACAATTTTTGTAAAATAAAAAAAATATTTTAGTAGAAAACGATCTAGAAACTCTTAAATGTTTACTCACCCAGCACTTCCCTTTTTTCTAAAAAGTGTTCCATCCTCACTTCTTGCTCAACTAAACCACGTTTGCTCATTGCAATATTGTTGATGGCCTTCTCTACTTTGAGCCATTTCTGTTTAGCGGCTTTTTCTGAGTAGTTTTTAATAACTCTACCAGACGCTTTGACGCTGAGTCGACTCCGCTGATTCTTTCTCAATACTGTTACCTCTTCTTGTTTACGCTTCAGCACTTGATCTTTAATTTTCCTTTCATTTTGCATCGATTTAATAACATTGGCGTTCTTTCTAGTTTCTTTGCGCAACTGAGCAATTTCCCGCAGCCTTTTTTGTTCTGCTTCCTTGTGCTTTTGCGATTCCTCTTTCATTTTATTGATCAATCTCACTTTGTTTCGTTTCATTTCTAACACCTCGTTTTTGAACGATTTTAGTTGGTTTTCGTATTGGCTCTGGCTCCTCACGAGCCTGGCGTGTTCTTTTTGCGCAGCTTGAAGTCGTTTCAGTTCTTTCTGCATGTCAGATAATTTCTTTGTGTATTCATCTTTAACCTTTTTGATTTTGTCCGACGGTTCCGCTTGAGCGCTGTAAGAATGCAGAATTTTGTCTCGTTCATCTTGCGTTGTTTCGATTTTTACTTGCAGTTGCATTAGTTTGTCTTCGTAATGTTGCCTCATTGTTTGCATTCTGCGCTGAGAATGTTCCAATTCGTCTATCAATTTCTGTTTCATATCTATATCGTTGGTTAAAGTTATTAATTCATCTTTTAGTTCGTGGTGTATATCTTTATCATCGCTTTCGCTACTGCTGTCATTTTCGCTATCGCCGTCCGTTTCATTTTCTAGTTCTAGCGACCTTCGATTCAATACTTCTTTTTCTCTTTGGAGGTCTTGTTTGGCCTTTTCTATAAGCGATGTGTTTTCTTTCATAGTGCTGTCAAAGAAAGCTAATTGATGGTTACGCGATAGTTGTTTCCTTAATTGTTCACAAGTATTTGTTGATTCCATTAACTTGGCTCTCAGTTCTTCTATTTCCTTCAAATATCCTTGGATCATGTATGAAACGTCTTGTTCGTTACTACCTACAACACCAATCCAAGCTCCTGTAGCTTTTTCAGCTAGAAGTGTCGTGTTTTTGAGCGTTAATGCATCAATTGTCTCCTGCATAGCTTTAACTCTAGTTCTTAAATTACCAACCTCTCCTTGTAGCATATTATTCTCGTAGAACATATCGTTAACCGTTTCCGCTCCATCTTCACCGATGAGGCGCTTACCCTGTTTGTACTCCACTAATTCTAATTGCAACTGAGCTATTTGCTGCTTCAGTTGCGCAATAGTCTTGGAACTCTTATCTTGATTAACGAATATCCTATTCTTAATGTTTCGAGCTCTATTGGCATATTTCAACGTATTTAACGTTTCCATAAAATCTCTATCACTAGGGCTAACACAAGCAATCATCACAGTCTGGCTATTACCTCCAAGGCTATCTTGCAACAGTCTGGTGAGTTTCGAATCTCTGTAGGGTATGTGCAATGCCTTTTTGGATTTGTCTCCTAACGCCGATATAACATTTCCTAAAGCTAACAGACCACAGTTAATAGATATCCCCTCTTTCTGTCTCTCTCCGGTAGCTCCAGTCCTTTTCAATCTCTCGGACCCGGCAAGATCGACGAAATGGAATTTGGCACTAAGCGTTTCGAACTCGTTCGAAGGTTCTTCAGTTTCATCTTCAGACGGAGCTAATCGTTGTTGCTTTATGTGCAACGTGAATATGGCATGGGATCGCGACGATTGAGTATTCATTTGGGTGCTGGCTGTCGTCCTGGATAGGGCTCCCAACCTCAAGCACTGCAACGCTTCTTCTGCAGACACCACTGTCTTAAATGTCACTCCTTTAACTTGTATACCTCCGTATGGGTCTTCATGAATTTTGTAGACTTTATCCTAAAACAAATAGAATGATTTGATCATTTTGGAGGAAGCGAATCGAAGAATAATGGCCTTCAATTCACAAAAAGAAGGAAGCTCTGCTCTTAAATGAAACCACTACCGATTTGTTAATATTACTACAATATTTATACTAGAGTACTTTTGGGGAAAACTGTATGTATGGTGGATATTTATTTACAGTATTTTATTTATTTTTTAAACGCTGTTACATTTTATAAGCTCAAGGTTAAAAATAACAAGGCTAGGTAACTCATCTTGAGATTGTCAAATCATTTTTATTTTTATATGACTGGAAATGTTTTTATTTATTTTATTTTAAAGTAATTTAACTATGTTTTTCGAAAATTTAAGCATTAAAATTTATTGTTATCCATCTAATGAAGGAGTTAGGTGGAAGAATAGCCAAGAAAGTAGCTTTTCCGACTAGCATGTATCATGTCGTGCGAGCGATTTTCAACTAATCCCGCCCCTAATCTTTGCTTACGCCGTTAAGCAGCTCGTCTGCGTTCCGCTTTCGCTGCCCGCTTCGGGACTCGAGAAGTTACTGGAAGGTTCTTTGTGCCCGGGCTGGCTCATAGAGGAAGGATTTCGAGAACGTCTAGACTAGCATCGAGATTCTTTGAGACAAGACTGTGTATTTTTCTAGGCCGTTATATTTTTGTATATATATGGCTTATTTTGCTGACTGAGTTTAGTTTTAGAAATAAATGTTTTGGGTTCAAATAAATTAGTTATAAAATTGTTTACTTAGTTTAATTTATATTCACTATTTATTTACACCAACTTGTTTAAAATAAAAAAAAGTGATAGTCACATTATCATACAGTTGAAACCAATCTTTTTTTAATTTTGTATTAACAGCATGTATGTACAACAATAGCTATTTGTATTACGGTAAAAGTACTTTTCCTCCCTAGGGAGGAAAAGTACGACTTTGCTCCCTGCAATGAGGCCAGAAAATGTATACTTTGGATAGAAGTAGGCGGAAAAAAATATCTGCCAAGTTTGTCAGTATATTTTATACATCTATATGTAAGGGAGAGGCACGAAAATAAGGAGCGATCCACAAAATGTTTCTAAAGTAGGCCTTGGAAAACTTCACGTATGTCAAGTGTACAATTGTTCTTCTCTGAAGTGTAAGTTTGGATTTAATTCAAAGCTGTTCGTAGTTATTCGTGATTCGAATTAATTTTTCCACGCTGTGTAAGTAGCAAAAAAAACTAGATAACCATTGTCCTATTTGACAGAATTGATATTTAATGTGTTATAAAAATGCCTAAGAACGTGGGTTACGGCTATTGTTGAAGGCTCATTATTTTATTATTGTTGCTCACAATGTTCTTAAACCATTCCTGCATCTTGTTTTCAAAATGTGCACTGTCTACATTCGATAATAATTGTCTACACTTTTTCATTGGTAAGTGTAAGTAGAGGCGAAACACCCTACTAATGTTGCGTTATAGAATATCCACATCGGATGCATCTGAGATGTAAATCTTTGATCACGTGGTTCAATATATGTAAATGTAGTAGGACGGATGTGTCCGATGTAGATAAACAAACGCTCGAGATGTAAAACATGCATCAGATGTGAATACCTATTCAAACGCGGCAAATATTGTCATGCCAATTAATTTATTTTGAATTTTGAACCAGTAGGTAAAGTTTAGATAAAATATATTATTCCTAGTGTCAAGTTGAGATTTCCGTACAGCGGTTACCGCTGTTAGCGTGGTTACTTTTGTCACTGCAATTATGGCATTCGGAATTATATTTTTGAGTTCCATAATAGATTTGTCACAATTTTAATAACAACGGCAATACTGAGTCTACTTACATATGTTATAAAATGTACCCCTAGAGGGCGTATCGCTTAGTTTGAATCGCCACTCACGGACATGAATATGTTTGTCGGTCATGGTCTACTTTTTTAGAATCATTTCTCTCCTTAATTTTTAATAGGAAAGACTGAGTAAAACATTCCAACGTTGCCTGGAGAGCGTTTAGAAACCTCTCACGGCGCGTCTGGACCCTATTAAAGTGCGTATAGATATAACATACCGGGCCCAGGTTCGTCAGATTTGTACGGTGTCGTATATATACCCCACGATGGAAAGCAAACGGAACTACTTCGATCCTATTTGGCCCTACCCGTGGTAGGCCCGTTGTTTTCCATCGCGCGGTAGATATACGACACCGTACAAATCTGACGAACCTGGGCCCGGCGTTGGCCCGGCCCGGCTCGGGCTCGGCCCGTTATATCTATACCCACTTTTGTAAGTATGTGCGAGGTTTCTAAACGCACTCCTTAAGAATTTGACAGGGTGAGTGTTTTGTGCTTTTGACTTTTGACACAAATGTTCGTTTACGTTTACTAATCTGTCAAGTTGTTTTTGTAGATAATTAGTTTAAATAACGGTAATTTTTACTTTGAGGGTGGATATTGAATAAAAACACGGTTTAGTGTGTGACTTTATTAATAGTTTGATCATTAGTGTCACTGAAAAACTAGAGTTGCTCGTGTTTGGAGAATACATTCTGTGAATATTCAATTCTAATTCCCAATGGAAAAAGCGAAGGTAAGTTTGAACAAACATTGAATCGTTTCTATAATCCAGGAATATTTTGTTATGAATCTTTTAAACGAATTTAACAAATTTAGCCTATATGTTTTCCAATTCTTTTTTATATATTTGATACTGTGGACTCAATAGTATCGATCCCTAAAGGATGTTATTGACATAAGCCGTAATTCACTAGGGTTTGAATATTTTTAAAATCGTAGGATAAGCGTATGATAAAACCTAACATTGTGTTTAGCTCCATCAAAAATCATTTTAGAGTCATAAATTATACCTAAGACTTTAATCTTATTAACATTTTTATTGCTTTGTTTTTTAAAAAATATTGATAACCAATTTTGGTGTTGTTTTTAGAGAATAAGATTTACTTGACATGTATTTTCATTTAAAAAAAGGATATTCGATACAGTGATGCCAAATCATCAAAAAATTTCCCCCAAGCCCATTTTAAAATCCCTCTAAATTCCCCATAAAACGTGATTAAATTCTTCAGTAATAATTTTTTGATTAGTTAGTAAATATATAGTAGCATAGAATTTTAATCAAGTTATTTGGAAGTCAGGGCATTGGGTAAATTGAAATTGTCCGGTTAGATACGGCCCAAAAAGAAAAAGAATACTTAAATAAATGTTCTACCAGTTACACAATAAGCATGGAGGAAAGATTATTAAGAGTTGCCGTATCTTTATAGAAATTTGGCAACAAGTTTGCTTGCAGCGACCTGTGGAAGCGGGTGGTTCAACTAATCCTACTCTGTCGGTAATATAGTTACCTGCAATATTGGCTGTTCAATCATTACTCTGTTGGTAATGCAGTTGCCCGTAATACCATATTTAATTTGAAAATTGGCGGGCTTATTTTACATCCATTAAGAGGAGCATTTATTTTAACAATTATTATTTTCCATCTAATACGAAATATAGGCATCCAAAATTTCAGTTAATTTTTTTCATTTTTAGTGAAAGAAAAACATGTAAGTGAAGGTAGACGTTCGTTCCTTTGGAGCCACTTTTTTAAAATTTGATCAATTTTGATGGCAAAAATCGCAAAATTTTGTTTCATAAAGACTTTCTCAATTGAGAAAATAAATCAGATTTCAGAATAGTGGCCCCAGAGAAACAAATATTTCACTTTTACCTAATGTACATATTATTCATTCACTAAAAATTAAAAATAAACTAGAAATGTCCATAGCTCTATTTCGTATTGGTTAGAAAAAGATAATTGCTAAAGTAAATTTTTCTCCTCTTAATTATATTTAAAATTTTGCTTTTTTATTAGCTGTTTGTTACAATTATGAAATGCCAATAAAATTGTAAAATTCTATGACAAATAACTATGAGGGGTAAAATAAATACCATACAAAGTTTTATATAATTATATTTACTAAAAATTCCCAAGAAAAATAAATTAAATTAATGGTAATACAACAATAATAATAGATTTTCCTACACTTCAACCTACATGAGTTAAACCCCAAGAAGAGCTTGTGAGTGGCAAGAATAGTTATTATTATTTGCTATGGCACTCTGGGCTGACTTAAAGATAACCGATAGTGCCATATTATTTGCAGGTGAGTAAAACCCTGATAACCCGGCCTACCATCATTATTTGTATATATTAGTTTATTTCAATACAAAGTACAATCTATTTTTACAAATGTTTACTAGTTTCTATAAAAAATACTCCTAATTTCACGAAAATGTTATTCTCTAAAGATTATCTAATGAGTTTGACTTAAAAACATTCTAGTATTATAAATTATCTCCAAATATTTATTATCTTTAAGAAAGTTACTCTAATATCAGAAATATCACATTATTATTTAGGTGTACGTTAACTATCTTCGGTTAAAATAATGAATATCAGAAATTGCAAATAATTCATGTACTTGATTTGAAAAAACTAATTTTCTAAATAACAAAAATATTCTTGTTGAATCTTGGGAAATAAGATAAAAGGCAACCATCCATATAAACTGAAACAGAAAAAAAAATTAAATGCAGTAACTTCAATCATTTTGTTTATCTTTTTGGTCTTAAAATATTGCCACAGCTCTCATACTAGGTCTGTCCGGGTTCTTCAAAAATACATTGAGAACTATCAGAAGACTAGTTGACCAGTGGACAGTTTAATGTTGTTAATGTTGTATCCGACAAATAATTTGGAATTAAACTGTTTCACTGGTTCTCGGACAGTTTGCATCGAGTTTTAAAGAAACCTGAACAAACCTACATTATAATAGTTTTGAATTAAATTGTTGAAATATCTTTGATTCTGAAATTTTGACTGCAGTTTAAACGTCACATTAGGAATTATAGGGCATTTTTTAATTTGCAAATTTTACTTTTCTGTTTTCTATAAAATTTATTTAAAAATCCATTATCGAAACGTTGTTCCTTATGTAAGATT